ATGGAATGCTTTCATTTTAGCCTTTGGTGATTGTGTAACATGCATGCATCATTCTTACCTTCGAAAGCTGGCAGTACGGCTCCCAAGTTGCTTTTAAGCAGCAATATTCTTGAACTTGGAACTGTCCTCCATGTTGATTTCGACGCGGGAATTCCTCTATTTCTATTGGTTGATAGAACAGAATACGATAAAAAGCCGAACGAGACATACATCAAATTTGCGAACGATGTACTTTCCGTTTGTAACGCTCGCCCTTGTTGAAAGGGACTAAAATTTTTGTCCCGAGGTCTGACAAATCGCCGGAAGAGTGGAGTTTTAGTCAATTTACCGATAATTCGCAAACTTTAGTCCCGGTGTAAAAGGGTAGGAGGTCCTATCAAATTATGGTCCTACTTTCCATTGATTTATATGGTGACCTAAATACAACTCTCCCTTATTATCGTATCCACAATCAGGGCCAGTAAGGGCCTTTAAGAAAGGGGACCATAATCCCCAGGGGACCATAATTTCTTTTACACCGGCAAGCTCCAGAGGAAGTCGACATGGACATCTATGAAGTTCAGAGGAAGAAAATATGGAATTTTATAACTCTGAGAGGAATAATACATGGAAACTTCCAATTTTGAGAGGAAATTGACAATAAAAAAATGCTCAAAAAGGGGGTCTTTGGCGCGGCACATAGGTATTAAGACATGGGCGTAGCCAGGGGGGGTGCGATGGGTGCGATCGCACCCCCCCCCCCCTATAACCTTTGAAAATATGACCATTGGATAGAGGTAGAAAAGAGCTTTAAAATGCTTTTTATTTGAAGCTTCTAGCTCAATTTTGAAGGAAGTTGCATCAATTTTTGTAAAATTCAAAAGAAATCTTAATTTTTTGTGTTGCTTATGGCAAAATCGCACCCCCCCTGACCGAAAACTGAAAAATTTTCGGCGATCGCACCCCCCCTGACTGAAAGCTGGCTACGCCCCTGTAAGAGGTATATTGGAGTGAACCCCCCGGGACAGAACGTCAGACTTTTGTCAGCAATAACCCATGGCAAAATTACAACGTCGGAGAAACGTTTTCTTTACATCATATTTCCACTCTCACTCTCAATTACTACGTTAAGTTCATCTGTGTGAGCCAACATATGCCTGTGCCTCCACCGATCAGTATTTAAAGTTACCACAACTCGAGGCATACATGTATATTCGTTATATATTTAACATTTACATCACGTCACAAATTAAACGAATTTGTTGAGACCACAACGTCTTTGTCACGTTCTTTTTCACATACATGTATATGTATTTTTCACGTTTAAAACCCGTTTCGTCAACGTCAAAATTAACTGTTTCGACAACGTTGCAAATAAACCAATTTCGTGAGGACATAGCGTCTTTTTGTAACGTTTCCTGCACTTACAAATATTTTTTTACATTTCAATTGAAAACACGTTTCGACAACGTTGAAATTAACCGTTTGCACTACGTTGAAAATGAACCATTTTGGTCAGAAAATGACGTCTTTGTAACGTGTTTTACAATTACAAATATTTTTCACATTCAAACCATGTTTTGACAACGTTACAATTAGCCATTTTCACTACGTGGCAAATGAACCAATTTGGTGGGAAAACAAGGACTTTGTAACGTTTCCTAGACTTACAATTATCTTTCACATTTAAAACACGTTACGACAACGTCAAATTTTACTGTTTATATTACGTAGCAAATGAAACAATTTGGTGAGAACTGCAACGTCTTTGTAACGTTTTCTACACTTACAAATATCTTTCACATTTAAAACACGTACGTTACGACAACGTCAAATTTTACCGTTTACATTACGTAGCAAATGTACCAAATTTGGTGAGAACGCAACGTCTTTGTAACGTTTTTTACACTTACAAATATCTTTCACATTTAGAACACGTTACGACGACATCAAATTTTACCGTTTATATTACGTAGGAAATGAAACAATTTGGTGAGAAGTGCAACGTCTTTGTAACGTTTTCTACACTTACAAATATCTTTCACGTTTAAAACACGTTACGACAACGTCAAATTTTACCGTTTACATTACGTAGCAAATGTACCAAATTTGGTGAGAACACAACGTCTTTGTAACGTTTTCTACACTTACAAATATCTTTCACATTTAAAACACGTGACGACAACGTCAAATTTTACCGTTTATATTACGTAGCAAATGAAACAATTTGGTGAGAACTGCAACGTTTGCTGGGTTATTATACCACATGACAATGTTACTTTTATGTCTGCCGAAGAATTTGACAATGGTCGTTACATGAGTGATGACTAATTTCATTGAATGTTAAGGCCGTTCATGTATGCTTATTGAGACAATGTACCAGAGTTGCTTGTTTTACCGACAATCGTCTATTTGAAGAGATTTATCTCTTGAAAAGCCCATGGGCGTTCTTTTAAATATCGAACTTTTTAGAGAACTTTTAGGATATTTTTGGACGTAGACAGACATACACGAGAGAAACTCCAGCGGTCTACCAAGGGGGAGCTTTTTGACAGTTTTGGCAAAAAATCATGCAAAAAGTGCTCAGAATGGTAAAAAGCTGCATAATTTTGAAAGAGTATCTGACCAGACCTGCAAAAATACATGACCAATCCCAAATTATTTGGGCAACCCGATGAGAAAAATGCATGCTAAGGTGATGAAACGTTAATGAATTTTAATTTTGCCTATACTGAGATGTGTTAAACTCTATTTGGGTTAGATTTATTGCTACACCCTCTACTTACAGCCTTAACATGCCCCCTATCGGCTATCACCCGCTTCAAAATCATAACAGGTTCCTTTATATCTTCCTTTATCTTCTGTTTAAGAAAAGCTGTTAGCTATCAGCTGTATTTTTGTCAATCAAGATTTCTCTTCATCTGTGAATTACCCAGCGAGAAACCAAAATGGCAATTTTGATGGAAAGACACAAAGTACCAGTCAAAATCTCTGAAGATTTCCGGGCAAACAATGGCAGCTCTCCCAGTTAGGTTTTAGACTGTCTTCTCATATTTTTTCAATTTTATTCAATTTCAAGTATTGTTTAGAGTTGTGCGTTCAACATATTCGAGAAGTCAATAGCTATAATAAATTATATTGCAGATTTTGCTTGCATTTATGTAAGCTTTTCTCTTTTGACGGATACTTTGTGTCTTTCCTTGAAATCATGGCAGGTGTAACTGATCTACTGAAATCAACTTCAAGTGCTTACTACTATCTCCCAATGTGAGCTACATCAGTGCTTTTTGTTGAGAAAATATGTAAGTTATTAGCCGCTTCTTTGCCGATCAGGATTTAAATTCTCTTTATCTGTCATGTACCTAGCAAGATTCAGAGATTTTGACTTGTACGTCATGTCTTTCCGTCAAAACTTCCATTTTTGGTTTCTTGGTAAAGAGTATCTTCTCAATGTATAATGAGAATTTGCTGTTCGGCACAGAAGCACCTTTTAATTTTTTTCGATTTTCGCAAGGAGGACACTAACACAATTTTGAAGCGGTTGATAGCGGGCTCTAAAGGCTGTTCTAACAGATCAGTCACAGCCTCTGAAAGAGCTAGATCTACTGATCTAAGGCTCTAGCTTTAGGCTAGTCTAAGTCCTATAGATCTAGTAGTCTAGGCCTAGAATCATAGCCCAGGCATAGGCCCGTAAAAATGTAAAGAAATAAAGCTTACAGCATGTTCTATAAGTGAATATGACTCAATGCTATACATGTTCCGGGCCTATGCCTAGTATAGTCCCGCAGGACGAAGAAGATAGAATGTAAAAATCAAATTGAAAATCAAAATAATCGAACGAAAAAAAATTGAAAAGTTGAAAATTCGATTTCGATTCAATTTGATTTTCTGCCATTATAAATGAAATACTGTACTTACCAACATGTTTCTCGGATATATATGTTGTTCTTACTTTATCTTCGCCGAAGATCGATGTTTATTTATATATAACAATCGAATAATCGACATAATTCAAACTCATCACTACGACACCCGGGCTCCATTTAATTCAACACGCACTTAAGACGGGCCCCTTGGACCAAGCCTAGCTAAAATATATCACTGGAGTTTTTCGTAATAGGTAGTTTCTGATCCGGAATTTTTGTCAAATCAAAAAAATAAATTACTCGGCAATAGGTTATTAAGATAAATATTGGCGAGAGGTGTACACTGACAAAGAATGGTTGAAATAACTCCATAAACGTCAAAGATCTAGGAAAAAACCGATGAAAATCTCCCCTAAAAAGGACCCCTTCGAAAATGGCATTCTCCATTTAAGGGCAAAAAGGCGGAGTTATAAGCGGACTGACACTTTCCTTAAATGGAGAAGTCTCGATGGATCTCGCTTAAACTCCGCCCCTACTTCGTGAAAAATCACGTGAATTCCGGCTTTTGCTGGGGCATATCCGGGCATCTCGGCTTCGAACCCAATCAGAAGTTTCAATTTTGACTGGCACCGCATACATTATCTCAAGTCTAACCCAATATTTTTATGTATACGTTAAATAATGAACTATTTAATTGAATAATCATGATAAATGTATATTCCTAATCCATACAGTCTTATTGTTTGAATAATTGTCAATTTTTGGTTTGCGTAATTGGATTCACTTTGTTAAAAGACTAGCACTCGTATCACAATTATTTCTATGGTTTGATTTACCGGATGGTGTATTTAAGACACAGCTTAAGGCAAAGTAGTCAGAAAAATACATTTCACTTAATTTTGTTATCATTTTATAATGAGATTCATTTCACTCATTGGGCGATCTAATAGTAATTGAAGTTTTGGCGCGAAATGTGCCCTGCTTTGACGTCATTGATTTTCATCGACCAATCAGCGCAGCGGTCAAATGAGTACACTTTGGACTTTGGGGAAAGGTGAATACTGAGACCTTTTTGCTAGGCATATTACCAATGATCATAAAATAACATGTAAATACTGAACTGTAAAATAATCATACAACTGTAATCTATCTTACTCTGTGAGAATCATTGAAGCACAAAGGTCTGGTTGGCTGGCCCCTTGGCCCTGCAGTCCTATAGAATATGTAGTAGCTTGGGACATGATCTCTCTGTACAGCCTTAGGAATTGTTTCAAGTTCAAAAGCCTTGAGGATTCCCTCATCTTTGTTACTGTATTTATCTGTAGAAAAAGAAATTCAAGATCAACCTTGGAAATATCAAAATCAGTCATGAGAAAACCAACCATGGAAATACTGAGACCAACCATGGAATTATTAACCATAACTTTGAAATACTGAGATCAAAATCAAAAAAATTTGCACTGCATTCAATCATGGACTTCAACTATATAAGAAACTTGATGAGATCTTTTACATTTTCAACATTAATTTTGCAATTTCCTGATTTCATGTTATAAAAAATTTTGAATCAACAAAACTGGCACCAGATAATGTTCATGAATAATCCAAACTATATTGAACTCAAAAACATTTGTTTTTAATTCAGAGCAAAATTACCTAAAATCTGCCGAGGTAGACATTATAGCACCTGGCAAAAATGTTAAATTTCAAGGCCTGAGTCTTGAAGTATATTTAATAACATAAACATTAACAAGGACAGCAATGAGATGCAAGACCTGCTCAACTTTGTTGGTAGATGAAGGGGTCTATTTATAAATATAAAAAGTTAAAGTGACTTCATTTTGATCAAAGAAGCAAAATATGTATACTGACCTTGATACATCTTATTCTGACAGTGCCTTTCCAGAATATAGTAGAATCTGTATCTTTCTTTACTTGGAAATGGAGTTGTTTGCCATTGTTGTCTGTGAAAGCAGTTGTTCTGAAATATACCATGCACAGTTTATGTAGGTAAACTACTTAAGGATGAACCTGGTATGTTGGCCTGCATGTTCAAGGAGCGGGACCCACCTTAATGAAAGTCAATCTGCCACAGGCATCTTATCTTACATTGACTCACTGGCACTCTATTTTCATTTCTTGTTTAGGTACTAAAATACATGTAGTATGTATGCTTTGGGAAGGATGTGATACAGAACTAAACACTTATTGACACTAGAATTCTTTTGTATACATGATTATCATTTTTAAATTTTTGAAATCAGATTTGAGAGAAATCAGCAACTCCATGGAGTAGCAAATCCAATTTTGAATTTTACGATGCCTGAATGAGAAAAATGATACATAATCTTCTCTAAATTGAGCTATACTTCAGAAAGATCTCAAAATTAAGGAAATTCCTGTTTTCCAGACACGCCATATACAGAGCCCTTGGGGGTCAGGGATAAAAACATGTAATATATGTGAAATAGATGTTGTGAATATACTACCAAAATTTCAAACAATAATATTATCTACATTGGTTTAAAAAATTACCACCATGATTAAAGCGGTGGCCATCTTGAAATATGTTTTTGCATAAAACTATTCATCATCACATTGTTCGAATAAGACAAACTGACTGACAGACGGATGGAGGGCTTCACAATATCCCTACCAAACTTCTTTCTTTGGGATAAAAATCAATGCATATTTAAAATATACTTACAAATCATTAAGGCCTTTCACAATAGAGAGAAAATGCTCATGTGAAATGATTGCAATTTGACGAAGCTCAGACCCATGCTTTAGTAGAGCTGAATGAAGGGCAGAGGAATCCTTAATAGTACTTTCAACCACACCCATTCTGAAAAATATTGGTTCTACATGTATACAAAGTTTAAACAGTATTATCTATGATACCTTAATGAATATTTGAAACTAGAAGAACAGAAACTCAAAGTTGCAAATTGAGGACACAATATCGCTGATATATTGGGGAAATCAACAGAACAACCATCAGAACTACCAACTGTTGGATAAAACACAATTAGTCCAAAGCAACTTTCAAGTATTTTATCTACTATTATGAAACTCTTGGAAGTAATAAATATGACTAAGTGTTATGTGGAAAGATAACAAGAAATGTGTGTTTTTTTCAATTTCATTTCGACTTTATTACTAGCCAGTAGAAAAGTAATATCTGTGAACAATCATCAAATTGATCGTGTAACGAAGTAGTTGAAGCCTCAAAGTTGGTAGATTCACCAACTTCTCAAATACATCTTTAAGAGCCTAAACATCGGGGGGTTACTCTGCACCTTTATAGAGAGAACCAGATCTACTATAGCAAGAAAACAAAAAATTGTTTAAATTTTAGAATATTTTTAGCTCATACATGTATTATCATTTCTTGTCATGTCTATTTTTGGAACATCCCCAAGTGCATACTTTATCCCAGGAAAACTTAAGATTTTTACAATAATGTTTTATTTCTCTATTTTTATGGTTACCATTTGTATCACTTTTGAATTTTTATGCAATCCTCATTGGCAAGCCCGGTGATCGTACAAAATGGATGGAGGGGGGATTAGGCGATTTCTGCAAGAAAACTCAACAAATTTGGAAGATTTATTTTTCAAGAGAAAATTTACAACTGAATTGCCAAATGAATAGGCGCAGTGCATGGCAAAATATGTTAGATCATCTAGTATTTTTTTGAACTGATACCCTTCTAAAATATGAGATCTATTAAAAAAGGTGCATCATCACCAACGTGCAAAAGTCAATGTTTTTGCTATAAATCAGGCTACAATGGTCTACACTACCTGTAATAAATAGGTATAAGGGACGTTATTATCACAATACTAATGACATTGCTCACTTTTTTAAGTTAGTTTCCATGCGTCATACAAAAAATAATCGAAATAAATTAATATTGGATGGAGGGGGGATCGGATGGAGGGGGGATAACATGTATATAAGACATGATAAGACATGCTACTTGAATTTATTCTTATAACTCCAAATTTTCCCATTTTTCATTCTCCAGAGATATAATATCCATTTTCAAACTGGGGTACTGAGTTTTCAAACACACGAGTTCTTGTGAATTTGTTCCATCGTAAAGACATATAAATCCCCCGTGGGATGTTTTGATATCAGTAGGTGCAATCTTTGTTCCTGTGTCATCACGACTCTGATATATTTTTACAATATTGGGACAAAATCACAAATGGAAAGTTCTCACGTTGTTTAAATAAATAAATAAGAATAACTTGATTTGGGCTTACCCAAATAAAACTGCAGTTTGACTGAGGAAAGAATAGTAAGGAGGTTAAACTTAAAGGTAATCATTATTTCAGCTTATATTCCTCTTGAAACATGGTGGATCTTAAAAATATAAAAGTGGACGTCCCCTTTTGAAGCTTTGAACTGAATTTACACCTTTTAATGCCGAAATTGATAGTTTATCCATACATTTTAAGAAAATAAGTATGTCGAAGAAGATGTTAAGCCAACTGTTGCCTTGATAGCTCAGAAAAAGTTAAAATTTTCTTATTTTCTCTCTACAAGCCTTTTGCCCCTTTAATAATGGCTTTCTTTACTATTAGGAATTTTCTTGGCCGTTATTGAGTTTAACCTCCTTACTATTCTTTCCTTAGTCGCAAGTTCTGGATCCATTGAAACCATTATCCGCAATAACATGCAACTGATACTTGACAATAACATAAAAACACATAACATCAAGCGATTTAACACAATATTATTGTGTTAAATGTTCATTTATACTTGTAAAATGAGGCTACACTTACCAATTTCTAAAAATGACATTTCCGCATGTCCGTCATTGTGTCTGTTAGTCTCGGTGCCCCGGGTTCAAATTAAAGTATTAGCTAAATGAAATTGTTGTCAAATAGATTGATAATTATCATCACGATTACTCGAGATAAAAAGATCAATTTTGAGGATAACAGGTATCTTTGATTAATTTATGTAGCGTGTGAATACATGCAAAATAGTTATTTATTGCAAACCTTCTGTTTGTTAATGCAGTGCCGCAATGACGGTTAATTTCTGATATGATTTGCAATTTCGAAGTTATCAGAACTGACCGACATTTTCGTTAATTCCAAACCTGTCTACAATATTTTCATAATTATGCATCAATTGGGGCTTAGGGGGATACGGGTTGGTGTGTAAGTATTCATAAGGTATGTATGCATGCTTGAATCACATTCTTTATGTAATATTACCATGTTTTCAGGGTTTAATTAGTTCCGCTTGTCGAAACAAGCGGAACTATTAAACTTATGCTCTTTAACCAAAATGATGATGTAGGTTAGACCTAGCTGGGGCCACAAAACATGTCAGATAAGAAACGAGGCCCAGGCTAGGTCTAATGTTGTAATGTTGTTGGATTAATCGTGACCATGAATCAATCAATGCAGAATGTCTTCGATCATGAATATTTCAATAGTCTACAATTTGAGTAATTTCTCTCAAATTCCGAGGTTAAAATTTGATGACGTCTGATTTTACATTCACATAATAATGCAAATAAGTCCATTCGTCGAGAATCTTACCTTTTGTCAACCTATACGATGAGAAATCATTGAATAAGTAAGAGATGATCTAAGTTTCTACTAATTTTTATACACCTGATGCGTAATACGTCACAGATTTCTGTGTTTTCTGACGTCATCATAACTTGCACTCTACAAACGGAAGTGGCAAATTGGTTTTCGGCCAAAAACGATAATCCACTGTTTAATCTGTTTATGACGGTTTAAAGTATTTCGGTAAGTCAAACTAGATTTTAATACTTATTTAACATAATTACCTGTCATTTTTGATGTTCATAGAACTCTGTTCCATTCTAAAAGACTTTCAAAAGGGATTTTGAACATCTGATATTTTTCAGTTTGAGTTTCACATCACTTGTCAACCCCTCCCACATCACAATTGCATTGCTTCAGTAACAGTGATTCAGATGTGTTCCTTGCGCCCATATTGTATTGATTGTTTTGACAAAGATATGAATCATGGTTTCTAATTATGTTTGAATGTCATTTAGTCTGCTAGCTGGTGTACACGAATTAGAGTACATCTACATGCATGGAGGCAATGTTGTCCATGTTGGTAATTGTCGGACACTCAGTGTATACAGTCATCTGTCAGACAATTATCTATATAGACAGCATTGCCTCTATTGTTGTGTATCCTCAGTCCTAGACATTATTGTACATAGGAGCATTCTCGAACATGGGGCATTCCTAGTATGTATCCAACAGACCGAATATAATATTCGGTCTGTTATGATTGATATATTTCCTGTGGAAATCGCGGTGATATTTTTTGCACATAAATTTCTCGTTTATTACAAGAATGTTCACCTTGAAAATAGGTGAATATGTTGAAGAGATGTTCATCTTAAACTAGAAGCAAAAATATTTGTATAAGGCGGGTACAAGTTGATATAAAATAATGAAATGTTCAGACTCACCAAAACTTCAGGATGTGTTCATAAGTAGATCGCGAAATCAATGTCAAGGACGTTTGAGTTCACGAGATCCAAACGAGATATGCAAATTTTTGAACTTTGACAACACATGACCACTTGATTACCTCTGCCTTCTTCATGAATATTTCCGCTCTATTTACTATAAATGACGAAAATTAATCGGGATAATGATAATAAATGACTAGATCTAATAAATTCACGCACAAATGGAATTTATCAATACGCTTCCGTAATGTTACTCCGTCCGCTCCACGTGTTATTTGTTTACAAATAGACTGACGTCACTGGCTAAATCTTGTTTATCGTGAGAATTGGCATTGCCAAAATGGCTTGACCTAATCAATGGCTTCGCTACAAGAAGCGTCTATACATTTTATGAATATCTTCAGTAAGAGGACAATATACGAAAAAATAATACTGTAAGTTCTTTATAAGGTAATCATTTTATCATTAAACAAACTTATTTGTAACATTTATACAACACCACATTTTACAATAGGTGACTTACAGTCTGAATTTATTCAGACGAAGGATACAGTCTAGGGGCATTCCCGGGAACAAACCCTTGACATCAGGTGAAAAACTGAGGCATTGTTAGACCCTTTACAATGTATATCACCATATCAATAAAATGATGTGATTTGAAGTTTCAATGAAGAAATCATTTTTAAAAAAGAATTATTGAAGATAGTCTGACAAAGCCCCGATAGTGATCTGCGGTATTGTTAGAAGTACCAATCAGTCTGGCCTAATGCCGGCACTAAAGTTCTGATGCTCAGTACAGGAATATATAGATTCAATTAAACTTACCAGAAATCGCAAAATTAAGTGCTTTAACATCAATAAAAAAAATGAAGAAAAGTCACCTATTCACATTGGAAATATTTTCGTCTTGGTGTCCTCTTTGAAGAGTTAGGGCGCCTGGCGAGTGGAACAACTGGTCAAAAAATGAAAATATTTTTAGTTTTTTTTCTTTTGAGAAATGATTATGTTAAATCTGGCTGTAGATGTCTTAATTCAATGTAGGAATTATCAATAATCAGGTAAGGCATTGATAAATCATGGCTATAAATGTGTTTGTATGAAAGGGACAAAATTCACCATCAGTGACTTTTGCAAAGTCTACACTTAGTCACAGAAATGTACGAATTCACACTATTTGGTAATGGTAAGGTATTGAATACAGGCACCAGTTTTCACTACCATTTGGAACTGAGAATACCCCTATGTACTCTACAGGTGAGACTCTAAGGACGTCATATTATTGGTTAATTTGGACATACTGAGTAACTTCATCACCTTGTTCATCTGACTATGATTTCTGATCTATATTTATGGAGATCTCACCATTTGTGGAATTCTTCCCTTTGCACAAAAAGCTATTCCCAGAACATTTATTACTTGAAAAATCTCAGGCTTATGAATTTTTGTTAGGGCTACCTATGGTCTATCTGGTTAATGAACCTGAGATAAGGTTACAAGGTACTTTAGCCAATATTTCTGATTACTCTTCATAAAACCTCACAAGATAACATAAGTTAAACCATACTGTGCTTAATGATTTGGTCAATAATCAATAGAAAAACTTTCCAGGTTATTGCATCTGGCTGCCTCTTGAGCTATTGTGGCTCTTTATCAGTTTATCAGTAAAATTCAAAGGTGTGATGAATATCAGAATGTTTAATACTGTGTTATCCAAATTTGTATCATTGGATCAAAGATTGTTGGATGATGTAATTTTGTGTTAAAGCTTGTATGTAGTACTTAGTATAACATTATATAGAGTAAAATCTTTGTACTGCCATGTAATATATATGTATGTATCTATACATGTACAGTGTATATCAAAGCATATACATGTACACTCCCTTGACAAAATTATATTCTGTAAACAATTAATTTAGGTTATTTGATTTGTTTTGTTAAACTTACTTTAAGACTGTGTACCCCCCCCCCACCCCTTGTGTACTTCACCTTCAACAATATGTGTTTGGAAGGTGAAGTTCACAGGGGGGGGGGGGGTGGTCGAGTACATAGTCTTGAGACCAGACTATAGTAGATGGGGTGGTCAGATACAATTATAAGAAAATTCTGTCTCTACATCAATTCTTTACAAAAACTATGAGAAATTGAGATGGTCCCTCACTAAATTGCAGACACACTAATGTAAATGGGAAACAACATCTAAGTATGAATTGCTAAGTAGTGTCTGAGTAGATTTCTATGTTGGAATAATTCTCACAATTAAACTGGTTCCTAGTACAGAATCTTGGATATTTGAGAGCCAATCCACGGCCATACTGTATTACTATAAAGATGAGATAATGGTTTGTAATTTAAGAGTAATAATATTTAGAGATGAGAAATACAAATTACAATGAAAATTGGAATAATATATTTAGCCTGATTATTTGCTTCTTCAGATTAGCTGTCATAAAAGCAATTTGAATCTTGAATGGCAAAAGTGGGGTTTACATAAAACTTGTTTTACATGATACTTGTTTAAAAATAACTGTTTGAATCTCTTATTGCTTTTTTGTGATACTGAAATGCATTTTTGCTTTTTTGTGATTCTGAAATACATATCTGTTCAACAATTATTCAATTGAACTTAAAATGGTAGAATGTATAAGTGAACAGTACATGTATGAAAATATACAATTATTTTAATGGTATTTGATATTGAATACTGGTAAATGGCAGACAGATAAGCAGGCCTGTCAACTTGGGAACACCTAACATGAGTGACTTGGAAATGTTGAACACCTCCCCTCAAAATGTGGACACCTTGGTCCAAATCTGAACACCTTGATCCAAATTTTGAACACCTTGGTTTAAATTTTATTACATCTTGCCAAATTTTGAACACCTCAAATTTTTCGCGCTCGCTACGCTCGCGTTTCAAACATCCATCAGCGGGGGGGGGGGGGGGGGTGTAGGTACGAAAAATTTCGAACGGAATCCGTGACATATACGTAATTCGCGTGAAAAGTCCGAACGAAATGCGTACATTTTTTCCGGCGTTCGTACTTTTGCTGTGTACACGATCTTTTTTAGAAAATTTTCTACAGAAATATTTTTGCTTGACATTTACCAGGTAAAATGCGTATTTGCGTGACATTTTCTGTCACGCAAAAATAACTGGCGTGACTTCAAATTCTTCAGCAAATGCGTGACAAATACGCAAATTGCGGGACAGTTGACAGGCCTGGATAAGATTAATCACAAAATTATAGAACTACATATTACTCATACAATACAATCAGATGGTTTACGCTTGCTTTATCAAAATGTTAAGCTTGTGATGAATTTGTGAATATCATAACAAGTATTTGTGAATATCATAACAAGTGATAAACATGATATAGGTACATGTACATCAACTTACAAACATGTACGTTTGTTTATTTATAAAAAATAATTTAATTCAAAGCATGAAAAGTCAGTATACATAATCTAGTGTATAGCGACTTGCATTATTTTTATTTTTTATTGAATGCCCAGTCATTTTATTCTCAAAGGATATGGGTTTTTATTAATGTTTGCTGTTTATTCAAAAATGACTAAATATTCATATCATTAGTTTTCATGACCAAATAATTTAATGTAGTTTTTATTTAGGGAAGTGTGACTCAAAGGTTCGAATGTATTTGTAAAGGCTTTGGTTTAAAAGCCACTTTTGGAGGAATGAATAATCATAAAGGCTGGTTTTCCTCTTTGTAATTTGAATTGCCATTATAAGTTACGTGTTAAATATTAATCGTTGAATTTGTTTTTCCAGTGAATTAACCGAACAATGGGACAAGTGAAGTATCATGTTTGAGAATAGCGGATTATCGGCCAACGCTTTGATATTAACAAAGCTAAAAGAAGAACTCAAGATCTGAGAAATTCTTGCATTTGGCAGAGAAATAACGTATTGCAAGAACATGAAAATAAAACAGTTCTACAGTTAACAAAGGAAGTTGAATACAATATTAGTATCACTGTCATCTACTGAAGTAGGCGGAAAAAGATACAAAATCATTGAGGAAGTTGTTAAAGTCCGTAAACAAACCTTGTCAGCATATTTGATGTCACTAACATATTTCGTTTTATAAAAACAATCCTCTAACACAGTGATTCCCTGTCTTGGATTGATGACCAAAATTAGGAGTCTATTTGAAGGTAAGTTACCATAAGTTTTTGAAATTATTTCTTATATTAGGTTTCTACTGATGTAAGAATTTGCTGTATTCTTGGAAATTAAGTAACAAAAATGATGTCTTTTTACAATTTTATCTCCTTCCAATCCAAGATGACGGCACTGAGTTTGACGTATCATAACTTTGATATTCAATTCAATCATAACCTTTTCAGAGATATTCACTATACATTCATTAAAGTTCACCACGCCTCTATTATTTTGCCTCTACTTTCAGTATTAGATATCTATAGGATATCCTATGATTTTGAGAGATATCAACTCGTGGATAAAAATGATATCACGAAAAAATCATAGGATGTTCTATTTATCCCATAGTTCACCTAACCATAGACGTACATGTAGTTGGTATACGTCCATGACCTAACAAAGCATTCCAAAACAACATTTGAAGTTTTATTTTGTCATTTGAATTGTATAGCCAAACATTAATCATTTCCATAGTTTAGTTGTGACATCATGAAATCACCATGTAAGCTCATGTAACAATGTATGTCACCTTGGCGGGAGTTTTCAAATCCGTGGAAAAAATGATATCTGTGAAATATTCTCCGTATTCCCCAGATATCGCTTTTTTCCACGCATTTGTATTTAGCCATAACATTTAGTATGATTTGAGTCTGTCTGCTTGGGTATATCAGAATGCAAGAGCTCATAATGGTTTATATTACATTGAAAAGGCTAATGGAGTTCTAATAATGTCTATAAAAAGCTTTGATATGAAAGAGGTAATTATAGGTGAGGTAACTTAACGAGCAACTGTATTGAATGGTGCTACAGGTGTAATGCTTTGCATACAGGTACTTTCTCATAGCACTAAATGATACAAACTTGAGAAGTAAGGATCTACAGGTTTTTTTATATATCAGATTTATAGATTTTTATAATTTACAAGAGAATGACCTGTATACATACTTTTGGTCTGCCAGTGTATTCTTGCATTGTAATAATGGAGTTAGTCATATAAGTAAATCATATTGATCCATAAAGATATGAATTCTCAAATACAGTGTTTATTAGATGATTCATATACCTTTATGAGAGCATATATGCAGGTAAATTATCAATTAATTATGAACATTGTGAGTTATTTTCATGTTAGTATCCTGGTAGGTTGTTCTCTTAAGTATATCAACTGCAACATTTTGATTCACAAGGTTTCAGTTCCTCCAACCACCTTGGAAGTCGAAGATGAGCTGCAAGGTAATGACATTATTTCGGAATGTTGCCAATGTAACTATTGACATTTCGAGTTGCCATGGGTATCTTTTTTTCTTATTTTGTTGGTTAAATGTTTCTAAGGAAATTAACTTCAGTTCCTGATTCTACATCAGTTCAGGTCAGTTCAATGATCTTTTCATAATTTTTTGATATGAGTATTTAAACCGTGTGAAAATAAATATAGGTTATTTACTGGGAGGGATTGAATATGGGTTTTATTCCGAGGGACAATATGATATTGACCGAAGGGTAACATGATATTGACCGAGGGAGCGCAGCGACCGAGTGTCAATATCATATTTACCAAGGTCAATATCATATTTTCCAAGGAATGAAACCCATATTCAATCCCGGCCAGAAATAACCTATTTATTCCATAATACATTCCTCTAGAATGTTACATTTTGAAAATGCTTTTATCAATTAGCTAAAGTTAAAAATAACAGGAAAACCAAAAATAGGTTAGTACGTTCCAATACGATTTTTTCCCGGGGACAATACGTTTTTTTCATGTGATACGCTCCAATACGATTTTTTTCCCGGGGACAATACGATTTTTTCATGTAATACGATTCAATATGATTTTTATTCCTTCATATTTCCCTGGGAAAACAGTAGTATTATGGAATAACTAGTTTTACCGACCACACATCCCATATTATTTTTCTATAAAACTATAACAGTTCCTAAAAAGATCTCTAGGCTTACCCTAATTTTACAATTCACATTTTACAAATGTAAGCTTTAGGTAAAGTAAATATAGGAAGGGACCAGAGACTCGATGCAAGACTCACAATTATTCGATATCTTATAGTCTAGCTAGACGCCTCTGTAACACCTCTTTCCCCAACTACTTGATACTTGACTACACTTCTCACACTCACGGTGTGGGTAGGGCTCACAAGGGCTTGCAGCCAGACTAAATATCTCTTTATATGAACTTTTTAAAAATGTTGATTGTGTGTAGATATATTTGAACTAGGTACATAATTTTTAAAACTCGCGTCTGATTACCTCAATGTTTGTATGACCCGAGTGAAAGTCTGTTGAATGACACACTTCAGAATCAGAAACTTTTATCACATTCAGTTCAACTTGATAAATATTTGAAAGGCTCATTCATTTTCCCATATTCTAAAAATTCCACACATATTTCAAATGATTTGAGAGTTCATGTGCAATAAGCACATCTCTGAACTAAGCAACTGCAAGCATAATTGTTAAAACAACTTTGCCCCATCTACTTCACAAGTCAACAATTTGCAGTATTGTACTAAAGCGATGTTGAGAGTACACGTCTTCTTGACTGCTACACTAAATAGATAACAAATTACACTATTGATTCCTGTAAAGGAAGATACTTTGCTTGTTTTGCTTATCCAGCTGTCATTTTCTGGAAATTCATTAAGAAAAATAGGATACCAAAAAGTGTTTCCAATTATTTGCTAGGCCTGCTATCAATCGTGTTGATCTCTGTGCTGTCATGTCTTTCATGTTGTTTGCTATTCCAGCCAATTGCTAAATGGCTGTCAGGTCTTGTAGAACTTTGACTGATGGGATACCATGTCATGTTTTCAAAGGCCTGAAGTACTCAGTTCCTTGAGGATCTACATTACTACACTAGAGGAGAATACATAACAGAATACAAAATACAGAAAACCTAACTGTGAAAAAGTGTTAATCAGTATCTATTGTTGACTTTACAACAACATGTCATGTTTCCCTCACATACCAGAGGCGTCTAATGATCCCAGGCATACCTTTATCAACACTAGGTCAGACATTCTTTTATCTTTTTTTTCATAGCACCAATAACTTCTCACCCTATCATTTTTGAGGTCAAAAAAGATGCAGAGTAAAATTTTAAAATAAATCATTTTCAAAAATGCTATGAGAAAGGCTTAATGTGAATAAAGACTAATATATTTGATCAAGATCTAAATTACAGAAATGTCTACATTTATTAGAAATCAAAATCAAAATCTTAGAAAATTCTTAGAAAAAGACAAGGCATGGAATGTAGTTAGCAAAATGATACCTGGACAATCTGTCATCAAAGAACCTCACCTGTTTTTTATGGTGCCATATATTCTGTGAGAATCCTTGAATTCTCCTGTTTATGGTCAGTTGTTCTATGGAAATGGTTTATGTCTACTGGCTGCTATTTAGATAGGCCTTGCAAAGGGTGGGCCAAAAATGTTATCATTTATTAATATGTAGATATATGAGTTGTAATATTTTTTGGCCTACCTTGTATAACAACTTTTGGACCTGTTTGTGTTGATGTAGGTCTAATCCAAAGTTTATTTTGTTCAAGACGAGAGTACATTTGTGGCAGTACATGAATCATGTGGAATTTCAAAGAATATGCATCATTTCACATTTTTTAACAACTTTATTTCAGTTGAACTGTAACTGTTAAAGCTCAAGATTATCTTCATGCCTGAGTCTTCCAAGTGAGGTATTATTTATGTCTTGTCAAAAATTATCTGCTCCTCTGTGTGTTACTGACAATGTAAGAGGTTGTTTAGACCTGTCCTATTTTCCTTTTGAGGCTTTGAATACTCTGAGATTTTTTTTCGTTTTGATCAACATCAGCAAAGCTATTACGTTGCAACTTGCAATGAGACCATGCTATTTCCCAAATAGTTAATGACAGTTTAAGGCATTGAAGTGTACATGTGTGTACAAAAGTAAGGAGGGAAGTACATTTACAGGAAAATGTTTAATGGTCATGGTATGATTTAGTTCAAGAATTCACTCAAGTTCTAAGGGGACTTATTATCTGACAGGAGAATCCTTCCTGGATTGTATCTATTGAAGTGGATGGTTCAGGTTGAATGTATCATTTTACAACTTTATGCTCATCACTTGCTTTGCAGACTGTTGCTTCTTTGTAGAAGAGGGTGAGTTTTTGAAAATAGAGTTCCTTTTGACAGTTTTCAAATGATGCCAACTTTCTTATCAAAAGGAAATGTTGGTCACTTAAAATAGGCCCAATATTTCAAAACACTAGTATTGTATATTTTTCTGCACCCATTTAATAGGCATCGTTGGTTCCCACGCTCAATCACTACATTCTATTGAGGACAGGTCCAAAGCTTCATGAAGCAAGATGTTAAATGGGTGAGATGCTTTGCTTGTCCAGTAGTAGAGGCACTGGTACTGTAATATGTACATATAAGAAAGAACAAATAATGTTTTATAATGGCTGCATTATACTGCCTTGAAATGCTATACTTACATTTTATGAGCTGGCTTTATGAGGTTTCTGAAGAAGAGTTAAGATTATTTTCATGGGCAAGAAGATAAATATCGTATTTTATGGCTCTTGGCCTTCTGCTTTTCTGTTCTATCATTACTTGTAATTTGCATGTCATTATTCAGCTATTCTGCAAATGAGAGTTTATAGCATTGGGCAAAATGTATAGTGACACCCTGGGAATTATTGGATGTGCTCAAGGAATAATCTGATATGAATTTATGTTTAGGAAAGGACATTATGGTGAATAGACCAAGAGCCCCATCTCCATATCTCTCTTAAGGTTATTTTTAGTTAAAAGTAATATTCAGCAAATTTCGTAATTACACTAAATTGTTATGGCAAATTCTTAAATGTTCAACAAAGTTTTTGGTGTCAGTTCTTTCCCTCTAAAAATTGAAATGTTTGTTCTGTATTCTCAAATCCTTCAAAACTTGATGAGTATATCTCAGATTGGATCAAATAAGATATGGCTATCAT